GACTATATATATATATATATATATATATATAGAGAGAGAGAGAGAGAGAGAGAGAGAATTATAATTTTAATGTGTAGTATATTTATGGGATAAAGTGCATAATATCAGAGATAGAACGTAGGTAAATATAAATATAAAAGTGAACATTGAAGTCAACACTCAGAGGCGACAGGCTGTTTCATGCGAGGTGCAATTGCGCTTAGCATGAAATAGCCTGTCGCATATCCACTTTTGTGTATATATATATATATATATATATATATATATATATATATATATATATATATATATATAAATATATATATATCGAGATCAATATATATATATATATATATCGAGAGTCAGTTGAATGCTTACACGATCTGAAGATTGCGTTAACACATGAAACATACTTTAGCGTAACTTTGAAACTATATTTTTGTCATATACATATATATATATATATATATATATATATATATATATATATAAAGAGAGAGAGAGAAATACAAAACTAGATATATAGAAACAGATAGATAGATAGATAGAGAGAGAGAGAGAGAGAGAGAGAGAGATAAATATGTATGCGCGTGTGCTTGCGTGCCTGTGCGTACAACATTTCCATATTTTATTGTCCCATTTTCCATCGTGAGATTCTTTTTTAACAATATTTTTTATAAAAATAATAATAAGATTTTAGCAATAGCGTAATATTTCTTCATTCGAATTCTAAACGCACTATCTCATCTTACCAAACTGGAGAGATAACAACACTAATCTTGTATTAACTCAAATCTTGTACTGTCCCATCACCCTCGTTCCGTTAAAATAATAATGCTATTGGAGTAAGGAAAATTAACTTCCCTCTACACAAAACTTGCATTTCTGCTGACTAGACAGAGAGACGTGTTCTTTTTACCATCGAGTAGAATAAAGTTAGTTCGATATGGTTCAAATTTCTAAAGATAGTACAGACGAAAAGATTCGCAGTATGAAGGAATAGTCCGCTAACTGTTTCTCTATTGAAGTTCAACGAGGCGTTCGAAAAATATTGACTACACACCAAAAAAGCAGCGAATCGTTATTAATCAAGGGAATTTATGAAAGGAAAGTCAAAGGCCGAACGGTAGAGAGTTATGTCCCCTTGTGGATTGTGCGTTGAGAATTTCCAGCAACGGGGGAAAGGGGAAAGGAAGTCTAGGGGCCAGACAACAAAAAATTAAGAAATATTACACAAACACACAGACAAACACACACACACGCACACAGACAAACAACACACACGCACACAGACATACACACACACACACACACACACACACACACACACACACATATATATATATATATATATATATATATGTTAATGTCACGTCCCTTCAAGTACAACGCGACGTCGCCACATTTTTATTTTTTTAAATTGATATATATATATATATATATATATATATATATATATATATATGTATATGTATATATATATATATATATATATGTATATGTATATATATATATATATATATATGTATATGTATATATATATATATATATATATATATATATCATCATCATCATCATCATCAAAAAGTGATAGTTGTACGCCGAAACTAATTTGAATTGACGACTATAAATAAAGAAATAAACATTTTAAACATTGACGAAAGAAAGAAAAAGCAAACCCTCCGATGGAGGAATCGAATAAATATGAGAGAAAGAGAGAGAGGCGGAGAGAGGGAGGGGGAGAGAGAGAGGAGAAAAAGAGAATAGATAGAAAAAAGAGATTGGTGGAAAAAGAGATGGGTATAATGAATGAAAAAAAGAGGGTTAAGATCTGAAGATAATATAACGCAAGTAGGAATTTTGAAAGGATGGAAGCAAAAAAGAAGCTAAAAAATTAGATGGAAAAACTGAAAGACTGCGCCTGAAAATCATGAAAAAAAATGGAAAAAAGAAAAATACTAACGAAGAGAAATGAGAGGTTCCATGAAGAAGAAGGAAATAAAGGCTTGAAGGGTAACAGAACATTAGGAAAACATGAGGACATTAAAATAAAAATATATTTTGGAGTTGAAAATAAAGATAGAAAGTAAGAATGAAAGAGAGAAAATGATATTAAAATAGTTGTAAAAAGTGACAGATCAAAGATAAATAAATACAGAAAGCAAGAAAGAAAATGATGTCATAACATCTGTTAAAGATGACAAATAAAAGATGAATTAATATATAAGGAAAGACGGAAAATGTTGTTAAGAAGTGACAAATAAAATCTGAATGAATAGAAAAAGAAAGTGTTGTCATAAAACCTGTTAAAGATGACGAATAAAAGATGAATTAATATAGGAAAAAGATAAAACGAAAGAAAGAAAATGATGTAAAAAGTGAATAACAAGAAATCACAAGGAAGAAAGAAGGTGCTGAGGAGGTGGATAAGAAAGAAAGAAAGAAAGAAAGAAAGAAAGAAAGAAAGAAAGAAAGAAAGAAAGAAAAAGGATGCTGAGGAGGATATGAATCAAGAAAGAAAAAGACAGAATATAATGCGGAAATGCGAAAGAAAGAAAGAATGTAAGAAAGAAAGAATGATTGTGTGAATAAATGAATTAATACTGAGTGAAGCTGTTCATTTAAGCGAGAAGCAGAACAAAAGTTAAATATTGAAAATAAATATAAGAAAGCAAACTTTGGGATAGAGGAAAAACATGTCAGATGCGAAAACATGTAAAAGAAACCTAAGTAAAATTGAAGGAAGGAAATGAAAGCTGGTTGTAAAAAAAAAAATGGTAAACATTAAAGCTTTCCGTATATTTGTCAGGTTGATAAATCTCCTGATTCCACAATATCATTCTGGTACCTGCGAATGTCTTTTAAACTTTTACTTGGAAACGTTCTGCATAAAATCTTGTTCTGATATCGAACCTAAGATCAAAAAGACTTAACAGTTGTTTTGCGACTCGCATGTTCTTTATGGAAAGAATTTAACACCAAAAAAAAAAAAAAGACAAACAGGGTTTATTCGAAGAGTAGAGAAAGAAAGGAAAAGTGAGAAATGGCAAATAAATTATAGTGTAAAAAAGCTCCCGAACCCAGCAGTGGAGTAATGAACGGAAAGAGATAAGAGATGAAAAATGAAGTGGTTCGAAGATCGGAAGGAATAGAATTAAAAAAAAAAGAAAAAAAAAGACGCTCTCAATAGAGCCACACAAGTGAGGTTAAAACGTAAAGGAATGGGCGCTAATTAGCGACATATGGTGTCACTGAGCGTTGCACTCATTTCAGCCGCCTTCTCTCTGTCTCTTCAATGGTCTCCAGCTGTTTTTAGAAAATTCATTCTTCTTGTTGCCAATGAGATTTATAAGGGCAATGTCAGAATAAGTAAAGTTAAAATCTTGCCTAGAGACGACAAAAAAAAAAATGAACTTTTTATAAGAAAAGTCCTTAGCCTTAAAGAAGTTGTACTAATATTTACTAAGCTACAGCTTGAGAAAACAAGTATGGAAAACCGTGTGAATCAAATACCCTATAATTATGAATGGACGCCAGTTGAGATGTTATAAAATGATATACCTTTGACATAAATCGGACATTAAGTTGACATTTTTTGCGGGGGGGGGGGTACTCAATGACGATCGAGCTCATTGCTGTATTAGTATTTTATGATGCACAATTATCCTTTATGTGAGGCGATATTTATGATAAAATAAAATATATATACGATATTAAAAATGAACTACTTTTTGACACAGAGTGAGTATGCAACTACATTATGAAATGTCTACGATGGCTAGATGCTCTTTCTCAGTTTTCAAAGCTTGACTTTGTCTGGTTCAAGGCGACTTTCGGGGAATATTAAACTTCAAATACAAAATATTTGCTAATAATCCATGTTCAACAAGGCCCAATAATTTTCATACTTTGCCTAATGAATTAAAAGAAAGAAATAAAGAAAGGAGGAAAAAAGTAAAAAGAAAGGATGGAAGAAAGAGGTAAAAAAAGAAAGAAAGAAAGAAAACAAGGAAGGAAAGAGAAAGAAATAAAGAAAGGAGGAAAAAAGTAGAAAGAAAGGAAGGAAAAAACAGGTAAAAAAGAAAGAAAGAAAGAAAGAATGAAAGAAAAGAAAGAAGGAAGGAAGAAAGAAAGAAAGAAAGAAAGAAAGAAAGAAAGAAAGAAAGAAAGAACGAACGAACGAAAGAAAGAAAGGAAAGAAAGAAAGAAAGGAAAGAAGGAAGGAAGGAAGGATGGAAGGAAGAAAGAAAAAGAAAGAAATAAAGAAAGAAAGAAAGAAAGAAAGAAAGAAAGAAAGGAGGAAAATGTAGAAAGAAAAGAAGGAAGAAAGAGGTAAAAGAAAGAAAGAACGAAAGAAAGAAAGAATGAAGAAAGAAAAGGAAAAGAAAGAAATAAAGAAAGGAGGAAAAAAGTAGAAAGAAAAGAAGGAAGAAAGGTAAAAAAAGAAAGAAAGAAAGAAAGGAAAGAAGGGAGAAAGGAAAAAGAAAGAAAGAAAGAAAGAAAGAAAGAAAGAAGGAAAAAGTAGAAAGAAAGGAAGGAAGAAAGAGATAAAACAAAGAAAATTGAAAGAAAGAAAGAAAGGAAAGAAGGAAGGAAGAAAGGAAAAAGAAAGAAATAAAGAAAAGAGGAAAAAAGTAGTAAAAAAAGAAAGAAGGAAGAGGTAAAAAAGAAAGAAGGAAGAGGTAAAAAAGAAAGAAATGAAATAAGGAAGGAAGGAAAAAAGAAAAAAAAGAAAGCATGGAGGAAAAAAACTAGAAAGAAAGTGTTGTGTACGATACACCTAATTTACATAAGTGGAGTACCAACCATATAAATATGGGTTGGTACCGGAAGACGAAAAAGAGATAGTAAGAAGAGATCGAATCCAGAGACTCTGCCCGACTGCGATTTAGTCAACCCATTATGCAGGAACAGTCTTCCCAAGAATATACGAAAACTATCTGTAAATACTGTGTACCTTTTCCTTGTTTCAATACATTTTGTTTACGTACATTTTGTGTTGTATTATTATTATTCCATGCTTATCCAAGTTTCAACAGAAAGGAAAGTAGAAATAGGTAAAAAAAAAAGAAGGAAAGAAGGAAGGAAGAAAGGAAAAAGAAAGAAAGTAAGAAAGCGAGGAGGAAAAAATAGAAAGAAAGGAAGGAAGAAAGAAGTAAAAGAAAGAAAGAATGAATGAAAGAAAGTAATGAAAGAAGGAAGGAAGAAAGAAAAAAGAAAGAAATAAAGAAAGGAGAAAAAAGTAGAAAGAAAGGAAGGAAGAAAGAGGTAAAAAAGAAAGAAAGAAAGAAAAGGAAGGAACAAAGGAAAAAGAAAGAAAGAAAATAGGAAAAAAGTAGAAAGAAATTAAGGAAGGAAGAGGTAAAAAAAAGGAAGAAAGAAAGGAAAGAAGGAAGGAAAAAAGGAAAACGAAAGAAAGAAAGGAGGAAAATACTAAGTAAAGAAGAAAGATGTAAAAAAGAAAGAAAAAAGGAAAGAAGGAAGGAAGAAAGGAAAAGAAAGAAAGAAAGAAAGAAAAAGAAAGAAAGAAAGAAAGAAAGAAAGGTGGAAAAAGTACAAAGGCAGAAAGGAAGAAAGAGGTAAAAAGGAAAGAAAGAAAGAAAGGAAAGAAGGATGGAAGAAAGGAAAAAGAAAGAAAGAAAAAAGAAAGAAAGGAGGAAAAAACTAGAAAGAAAGGAAAGAAGCAAGAGGTAAAAAAAGAAAGAAAGTAAGAAAGGAAAGAAGGAAAAAGGAAAAGAAAGAAAGAAAGGAGGAAAAAGTAGAAAAAAAGAAAGGAAGAAAGAGGTAAATAAATAAATAAAGAAAGAAAGAAAGAAAGGAAAGAAAGAAGGGAGAAAGGAAAAAAAAGATAGAGAGGAGGAAAAAGTAGAAAGAAAGGAAAGAAGTAAAAAAAAGAAAGAAAGAAAGAAAGAAAGGAAAGAAGGAATGAAGAAAGGAAAAAGAAAGAAAGGAAAAGAATAAAAGAAAGTAAAAATGAATAAATAATTAGGATACTGAGGATATGTTAAAGAAAGAAAGAAAAAACATAGAAGAAGAATAGGAGCTGTATTAGAAAGAAACAAAAAACGCAAGAGAGAGAGAGAGAGAGAGAGAGAGAGAAAGTGTAGAGAGAGAAGAAAAAGATGATTTAGGGGAATTGTAAAAATGAGCAATAAAAGAAAGAAAAAAAGAGATAGCATGCTGAGGATATGTTGAAGATCGTAAAGAAACACACACCGGAGATAAAGAGAAGGCGTATAAGAAAGAAAGAAAGAAAGAAAGAAAGAAAGAAAGAAAGAAAAATATGATTTAGGTGAAGTTGCAAATGTAAGGAAGAAATATAATACTGAAGATGTGTTGGAGAAAGAAAGAAAAAAGAAAGATAAAAGATAAAGAGCGGGTGTATAAGAAAGAAACACACGGGCGAAAACATTTTGGCAAAGTACTAGACACGATAATCAACTCTGAATTGGTTAAGCATCTCACCACGCAGGGTCTTTAAAAAATAGGACTTTCGACTCTCTGGTAATGTATTAAAGATTATTGCTGATAGTATCAATCAAGCTTTAGATAAGAATGTTGAAGCTCGAACTGCTGCTTTGGAAATCTCCAAGGCATTTAACAGGTTTACCATTCACAAAAATTCTAAGATTATGTTATTTCTAGACGAATGTTTGAAGTGGTTCAAATGATTCTTTCATAGCAAATTCCGAAATGAATATTGTCTTGAATGGTCACTTTTCTCGAACTTTTTACATTAATGCCACTGTCTCTCAGGGATCTATCCTTGGGCCTAGATTGTTAATTTTAATCAATGACCTTCCTGATGTCATCTGTTCTCAACTCGGTATCCATGCTGATGACACAGTTATTTACTTCTGTTTTACTAAGTCTGATCGGTTCGATAAAGTCAAATTGGAAGCCGGTCGAAAAATGACCTATAATCAGTTGTTAAATGGGGCAAAGAGTGGCTTGTTAATTTCAAAACCTCCAAAACGGAACTACCCTCTTTTAATCGTCCGGGAGAATTTTTTGCTTTCCATCAGCATGACTGATGCTAACCTCTAGGAGGGTGACTCATTGCCACAAAGTGGATACCTTATATTGAATAAGTTGCTAGGTGTGTTGTTAGGAATGTTGGTTCAATGTGTACATCTGGACACTTTTTCAGGCTAGAATCTACCGTCGTTCTTGCTTTGAATAATTCTGCCACATTTGGTCTGGTGATTCTGCTGCATATTTAGTGATTCTTGTTGATAAAAATCTAACGTAGAATCTACAGTGTTCGCGGTCCTGACCTGGAACCACAGCTCCAGTCACTTTCATACCAGGCTAATGTAGCTTCCACGCGCATTTTCTATAAATACTTTCATGGTAGCTGTTCTCATGAATTTTCCTTTATGGTACCTAAACTTCAGGAATTTAACCTCAGTACTAGATCGACGGCAAGGCTTCATTATTTTACAGTTGAAATGTCTTGTAACCGTAAGTTCTATGCTAACAGTTTCTTCGACCGCACTTCGCGTTTGTGGAACTCTCTTC